TTACCTTTAAATCTCGGCTGCACCATCAATGAGAGAATCATAATAATTATCACACAAAAATGACAGCTAAGGAAAATAAAAACGGCTGCATCTAATTAGGGTAACTAGGAGATTAATAATCTCATTAAATGCAATGTTTTATGCTCAAAATCTAGGTCATTATGGCCAATTTTTCTCTCTCCTGTATATGCAATAAGCGAAAATTTGGTTACCTTATTTAAAAGAGGGGTGTATGAATAAAATCATAAGGTGTATTAAATGAGTAGGGTAAAGATTTTTGCAAGTGCCAAGAATATGGAAAGTCTACTCTTCGAGAAAAGGATTGTAACTCTAATTTTTTGGTTGAACTATAAAAGGGAAGTTTTTAAATGAGGGTCAATCAAAAGATAACAGTCAAAGGGGTGGCGGCTATATTTATTTAGAGTAACTTGGAATAATGGAATTTGCATTAAGTAGAGTTAATTTGGGCTAGAACCTAGGCTATCAAATTCGATTCTCTCCCTCCCCTAGGCATGAATGGCCTTTCGGTTACTAGACTTAAATGAGGAAAGATTGAAACGTGCCTTTTAGGTCCTTTGTGGTACACGTGAGACCTAGGGTAAAAAGGATGGTGGTTCTCATTAATGGACTAATTTAGTGTGCGTGGTACTAGGATAATTGGAAGGTTTATGTACACCCATTATTAGGGCCAAGTGGACATTCAAGACAAGCAAAGAAAATCACACGTGCAGTTCCACTTAATTTAAGAAAGTATATCATTCAATCAAATAATATGAATTAAACAAACAATGTATCATTAATAACAATAATCAGAGGGTACAAATGGGGTCCACTCATCAGACTCAAAAGACAATTTTGCCCCAGGTTAATCTCACTATCCTAGGGCCATTTTAAGGTAATTTCATCACATAATTTTATAGGCATGCACATACAAAATTAACTAAACATACCCTAGGAGAAATAATTATGCAAGCAAGGAACACAATATGATTAGACAATCAATTACAAGAATTTATAAATTAAAAAAAATATCTTACTCAATTATTAGGGAATAACTTAATTCGTAGCAAGAACTAAACTAGAGTACTGAAAATCAAGCAAAAGAGTTACTAATTAATAACCAACACTCCCTGCCATGCAGACCAAAATCTGGGATGTTACAAAAAGTCTGTGCAAAGCCATGCAACTAAAGTTCAACGTTGCCTTGAAGCTGCAAACAAGGAATTAGGATTGAAGGTGAAGGAGCGATATGCAGCTTTATATGAGAAACGACAATTGAAAGGTGCATTGTACAAGGCAAAAGGAGATTGAGAAGAAGCTTTGACTCGAGCCAGTGAACTCCAAACACGAGTGCAAAATATGGAAGAGCAGATAAAGGAAATTGTCATGGCATGCAAGGCTGAAATTTATGCTGAAAAATGGAAAGTGATCAGAATCATGAAAGAATGTGAAGCTATTGTGAAGATGAAAGATGGTCGATAGAAGAAGGAGATAAGCTCATTGAGTATTGGATCAAACGCTTTATACAGCTTGCATCATTAGCTAATGTTGCGATTGATGACGTCCCGTATATGTTGTCAAAGGCCGAGATAGCTACTTTTTTCTACACGACACCTCAAGAAATTAAAGATTTCCTTAGCCATTGTAATTGGTTGGTCTCAGAGATGAAAGGAATGATAGCTAGGGCTAGGAAGGGGTGATGTAATGATTTGGGGTATAGGTAGACTATGTATGGGTAGAAAGAAAAAAGATGTATTTTGAATTAAACTCTGATGCACTTTGATGTTTTGATTTGATTGTAGAGTATATTTTGATGTGTTTCATTTGACAAGGATCCTACATTAATTTCCATTAAAGACTCGAAGATGCTCAACAACTGTGATGGTTCTTTAATCTTTGGTTGATATTTTTAAGTGCATTTTTCATTTTAATTAATTCTTTTTTGACAACAAACTCTTTCAGAAAATTAAACAAATATAACAGGAAAACGTTTTCTAAAGCATCCTTATAGAACTCGCGCTCAAGCAAGGATCATGGATGAATTAGAGGAGCACAATGAAGAATTGAGAAATGACGTTAACCAGCTGAAGGAACAAATGACACAAATTCTAGAGGCACTGAAGTCTTTAGAGAGAAGAACCACAGAGGAGACCCCTACTCAAGCACCTCCACCACAATCCACTCCTACCTATCCATCAGGTTTTACCCCTACACAAGGACCGTCTCAAAGTTTTCCTCCTCATGAAACAATGGTGCCTTTGACCTTGCATGTAGAAAGGCCTCCACAACAAGCTTTCAATCAACAAGATGTCCAATTTCTCCCATATGGCCTTTCCCTAGGTTATACACCATCGATAGCTGAGAACCCACCAAACACTGGCCAACCATCAAATCAACCCAATCCTGCACAACCTTCAGGTCCACAATCCAACCAACCCAAACATCCATCCCATCATATGTTTACCCTCAAAATGCCCATCCCCAAGAAACTCATATACCCCACACTATACCTACCCCAAACCAACCGATCCACCACCAACCACAAATCACTAATCCTAGCCTTGATAGAAACACAGCCATATCACCATTCCATTCCCATAAGACCTTAGAAGAACCTCAGCTCAATTACTCAAATGAGCACTTACAATCCAGAGAAAAATTGCAAATATTGGAAGAAAGATTGAAAGCTATTGAGGGGAGCAGTTATGGCATTGGAGAAGTTGCGGATCTTTGCTTGGTCCCAGATGTGATAGTTCCTCCAAATTCAAAGTGCCTGATTTTGATAAGTACAAAGGAACGACATGCCCAAAGAGTCATTTGATCATGTACTGTAGGAAGATGGCATCACATGCCCATGATGATAAGCTGCTAATTCATTTTTTTCAAGATAGTTTGATTGGAGGAGCTCTGAGTTGGTATATGCATCTTGAGCGTACTCGTATTCGTAGTTGGAAAGACTTGGCTGATGCTTTCCCAAAGCAATATAAGTACAACATTGATATGGCTCATGATAGATTACAACTGCAGAATATGTTAAAGAAGGAGGATGATACTTTTAAAGAATACGCCCAGAGATGGAGAGAAGTTGCAGCTCAAGTGGAGCCCCCTTTGTCTGAAAAAGAAATTGTGGCTATGTTTATTGATACTCTCCAATCACCTTTCTATGATAGGATGATTGGAAGTGTTTCGTCAAACTTCTCTAATATTGTGATTATCGGAGAAAGAGTGAAAGGAGGAATGAGGAGTGATAAGATATTTCACAATTCTGGCGGACCCTCCAATTTGAAGAAATTTACAAATAGTCTAGGAAGAAAGAAGGAGGGAGAGACTAATGCTATAGCTTTTCACCTAAGAGAAGTTCCTTTCATCAGACCTAACCCTGCACCTTTTCAATTCCAACCTACATTTCCTGCCCCTCAAATATCTTACCCATATGTCAATGTTATTTCACAGAATTCAAGTCCCCAATCTTATCAGCCGCGACCCTACCAACCCGCTCCGCCTACTTTTCCCATAGCACTACCCATGAGACCACCCCAACATTGGAACCAAAACCCAAATCCCAACCAAATACGACCCCAAAACAATCAAGAAAGGAAGCAAGTTCAATTCGACCCAATCCTCATGTCCTACACTGAGTTACTACCTTGCCTATTCCAAAGTTCATTAGTTGTACCCTGTCCAATGAAACCTGTAGAATCGTCCTATCCAAGAGAGTATGACCCAAATGCTAAGTGCAAGTATCATGTTGGTGACATTGGTCATTCGACAAAAATTGTAGAGCATTAAAGTTCAAAATGCAAGACTTAATTAATACTAAATGGCTGAATTTTAAAGAGGATAATCCTAACATTAGGAGTAATCCCCTACCTGGGCATGAAAATAATAATTTGTATAAATATGATAAGTTATAATGAAATGACAAAATAAAAAATCTACTTCAATAAACATTTTATATTGAAAACATATTAAAATATAACAACAATCAATCCTAAGCATATTTGTAAAATAAAAATTCTAGAAGGAGTCAAATATGTGATTCCACGTTATTTTATTTTATTTTGGAGAAGTGGGCTTTATTTTATTTTATCGATTTCTTTCGTATATTATAAAAATGCATTCAATAATAATAGAAAAAAATTAAATAAAGAGTATTATTTAATACTCTAATAATTTAATTATATATATCGTTAACATTTCTGTTTTTCCATATTTCCAAAGTTTATGCTGTCAACAAATGAAAAAATATGTTATAAAAAATTAAATATGTAAAAAATAATTATTTCAGGTGAAAAATTAAGTTGTCTAATCTATATCTATAGAGTTTTTGATATATAATTTTATGTTGAAATTCGAAAATTTACTTGTACATCGTTCATTACATTTTATTTCTTATCTGTTTATTGTAATATTTCTTTAAATAATATTTTAACTATAATCATGTTTTTGTTACACATTCTTTATTAATTAATATAAAATAAATAGACTTTCATATCTCAAAAATTATTTAATGCTTTTATGTAATAAAATCACTCTTAAAAATATAAAATTAATCCACAAAGTCTCTGGCTGAGTAGTTAGGTAAAGACGTAACGTCAGCTTATGATAATTAAAATCTTCGATCGCATTCCAATTTTCATATATTGATTTTCCAATAATTGACCGTTGAATACATTTCATAAAGATGAAAGTATCACTGTACGAAAAAATATTTTTCTACCGAGACAAAATATATCATTGAGTATTTCTTTTAATACCAGCTAATCTTGAAATATCGTACGTGAGCATATTTGTAAAATAAAAATTCTAGGAGTCAAATATGTGATTCCACGTTATTTTATTTTATTTTGGAGAAGTGGGCTTTAGACATGGCTGTTTAGATTGCAGGGTAGTGTGTGTGTGTGTGAGATTAGAGAATCACTTCTTCCCTCATTGTCGTTCCCATCCATCCCATTAAATTCAAAGGTCAAAGCATGATGTGTAGTATCCTCCAAACAAAAATGGCCACCTTGCCAATTTTGATTCCCTTGTTCCTCCTGCTTCTGGTAACAGCAAGCGCTGACTTAACATGTAAAAGCACGTCTTGCGAAAGCGGTGGGATCTCGATTGAATTCCCGTTTTGGTTGGAAGAAACGAGGCAAAGCCTTGGATGCGGCTACCCAGGGTTCCAACTCTGGTGCAGCAAAGACACTAATCTCAGCCTCAGAAAACCCTTCATCACTCTACCTCAATCCGGAGACTTCGTAGTCAAACTCATTTCCTTAGAGGAACAAAAGATTTGGATTAACGACCCTCATCAGTGTCTCCCTAACCGCATCTTGCGTGACCGTGGCTTCAATCTCCAAGGTTCCCCATTCCGATTAAGCGATTATTATACTTACGTTGATTTTAAGTTCCTAAATTGCCCCTCCAATTTAACCTCCTCCGATTTAGGACAACCTATTAGTTGTTTAACTTCTAACGACACCAACCTCGTCAACTATTCGGTGGTGGCTGTCTTGTCCGATCCTCCGTTCTCTACGCCGTGGACATCATCGTGCCAGCTTATTTCCACGGCTTCCATCCCTGTTGCGGTTCCCAACACGCCTTGGTTGTTTTGGACCGATTATTATTCCGACATCCAATTGCAGTGGGACATCCCTAATTGTGGAAGTTGTGAAGCACGTGGAGGACGATGTCGCTTACTTGGGGACTCTGATTTTAGCGTTGCTTGTTATGATCTTCCTAGCCAAGGTCAAGGTACGTTGCCAGTTGTGAAGTTGTTCTACTTTTACTTCCCATTTCTCTCCTCGTCGTGTCCTGTGTAACACGAAAGCACTTTTTTCATCTCTAATTAATTCTACTGTTCACCAAACCGGAGAAGGAACTCACCGATCTTCAACTATATTCATATTAAGATAGTTAAGTTTCTTATACATGTTATTGTGTTTTGTTTAATTCTTCGACTATATTCATAAAAAGAAAAATATTGAGATTGTATTCACAAAGTCTCTATATCTCAAATGAGATTAATTTCAATTATCGAATACGAAATATCTTACGTTAGCTAGTGACCATAATATGCAAGGCACTTTTGGAAACGTATTTATACCAGTGTTTATTTTATACATTTGATTATAATTTTTTTAAGAAAAAACTGAGGATCAAAAGCTATTTTTTTTAAACTCTCTGTAAATTCTTTTTAATAATAATAATAGAATGTTACAATTTTATTTTATTAAAATACTAAATAAAAGGTGTAGGATATATAGTATGATTTTATTTTTACAATTATAGCTCATGACGCATATTGCTTCTTGAGTAACTAAAACTTTTTATTGCGGAACTTTTACAAAAATAAAATAAAATTATATACTGTATATATCTTTTAAATTAAAATTCCCTTCTATTGCGGGGGTGAGGGAAATACTTTGACTTCAAAATTTGCAAATATGACGTAGGATAAATGAATGTCATAATCCGAAGGATCCTAACTTTACATAGTTTGTTTTTAATTTTGGTTTTTCTTCTTTGATTGGCAGGTCTTTCAAGGAAAGCCAAGTACAGGATAAGCATTGGCCTGGGAATACCTGGACTCCTAGGGATCATTGGTCTTACATGCATTTTGTGCTGCAAGGGGAACTCGCGTGATCAAATCCAACGGCGGTTAAGCAGCACTGAATTTTCTACACTAGTTTTGCCTCGTCCACCTGTTGTTGTCATGGGCCTTGATGGGCCAGCTATAGAAAGGTACCCTAAGACCCAACTTGGTGAAAGTGGACGGTTGCCCAAGCCCAATGACAATGTATGCTCCATATGCCTTTCTGAGTATCAGCCCAAGGAAATGTTAAGGACCATCCCAGAGTGCAATCACTATTTTCATTCCAATTGCATTGATGGATGGCTCAAAATGAATGCTTCCTGCCCATTGTGTCGAAATTTGCCCCATAGATCCCCTTCTCTTTCTACGTCTCTGCCTCCATACTCAACTTCTTAATCATTGTCATTACTCGTATCACAATGTTTCATTAAAATTTAACTCAAGATAGAAGCAGGTTAGTGTAGTTTTTTTTTAGCAATTTTTAAGACGTTTACATTTTTTAATCAATAATGTCAAAGGAAGAAAAAACTATTAATCAAGGTAATAATTTATTTACCTATATACAATATAAATGTTCTTTTGATCCAGTTGTCACATGTTTTCGTTATATTTTTCTCATTTTTTACTTTTTATTTTATAAATATTTCTTAGGTTATTTTTCTAAATTTTTTAAAATAGATGACGATTAAAGTTTCAATGGTGTTCAATGAACTATAAATTACATAGTTTATCGCATATATTATTTATGATGCGTTAAAAAAACTTGTTACTTGTTTACAAATTGCATTGTCTTTGTATCTCATTGTTATACGTTTCAGTAAGAAAATGTAAACAATACTTGTTTAAAATAATTTATATTTGAAAATTATTTATATTAACTAGACAAGTGATAAAAACACGGGAATTGAGGCTGATTTATATTTTTAATCTTTTTAGTTTTTCTTTCTAAAAAAGTTGTCTGAACATAATTAAAACCTAAAAATAATAAGTTATTTACCTTGACAAACACTTTAAATATTTTTAAAACAATTTTTTTAACAAAAAAAAATTATTTTTGCAATTTAATTAGTCTATTAATAGATAGAGTTAAGAAGCTTAAATGTTATTGCAAAGATGATTTAACTACTGCCCATAAATACTATGCTAATCTGGCAGCTACCTACAAATAGAATCTCAATACGAAGTAGATTTTAGTTTTTATAGCTAACACTTTAACAGACGCATCATATCTTAAGAGTCTTCTAACTTTTAATTTCTTAAACAAATATTTTTACATTTAAATTTCAAAATTTAACATTAATTAAAAATTACAACTAAACAATCGCTACAAAATTTGCATTAGTAATCTCAGCCATCACAAATAACTATTAATATTTAATTAAATTTTGTTAACATAAATTCTTAAAGTTGAGTTTAAACATCCACAAATAAATAAAATTATTAAAAAAAATACATAATTATTATATTAAAGTTATAAAAAAATAATAAATATTTTTTTGTAATAAATTTCTACTATTAATAATTATCTATCTTTAGTTCTTAGGGCTAAAGTTAACAAAACTTATTTAATTTAGTGTCTTTAATTTTAAGATCAATTTTTTAACTACCAATAAATTTTTTTAGAGATATATAAAATTATCATTAATTAAGAAAATTAATTGTTATTGATAATCAATTTTTTTAGTGATTCCCGTAGGATATTTGTGAGCTTTAGTAGAACAATTCTTTTATAATGTATCCAAATTGACTTTCATTCTTAAACTTATCAGTTTAGTTATTTTTTTTTTAAAAACATTATAATGCCATTTAGAATGCCTGAATACATGCAACATTCCATTGCTACCATGTAATCAACAAAACACTTTAAGATTTATAAATCCTTCGTGTTTTAATAGACCTTTGACCTAAGTTGATTTCTTCAATCAAGCAGACCCTTAACGTAAACAAACACTTAAATAATTTATTTATTTATTTTATCTTGGTATGAATCGCAATTACAATATTGTTTATTTTAAATAAAGACAATGCACACTTTAACACACGGTTAATATTGTTAATCATTAAAAGATTTTAGAAGTATTAGCGATGGTAATCCTTTCTCAAGTTTATAAAGATCAAAATTAATATTTTTAAAATTAACATAAAATATAGTCATTTTTATATGGAGTATAATATATTTAAACTTATTAAATATGGATCTCTTGTAAAATCATACACATGTTTAAATTAAATTAGTCTGCAGAAACTTTAATAGATATATATTCATAAAAATACTTTAATTGAATTTTTTAAACTACTAATTAAAACATGTTCTGAATATTTGTTTATGAAATAAAAAAAAACATAATTATTATTGCAAGTACCGAATTAAAAAGGTTGGTGCAATGTATGAATAATCTAACTAATATGATTCGACCATTCATTTAATTAGCTTAACTATTCCAGTTAAAAGGAACAATCAGACGAGGTGTGTTGTCAATTTGGGGTTGATAAGGAGATTAATTGTGTTTGTGTAGTTTATCATAACAAATTGTGTCTTCGAGGTTTTAGTTTATTTATTTTAATCACCGTAAAAGTTAATACTTAAAAATCACAGAAACTAATCTTATCCACGCTGACAGAGCTAGCTGAAAGCTAAAGTCCGAACTTGTGCAACTCTGTGGTCAGAAGTGATTCCAGCAGAATGGTTTTATATATATATTTTCTGATTGGTCAATTCACATTGTCTCCTGCTAATGGTCAATTAGGGACCCGCATTGAGCATTCTTCCACTCCCAGGCAAGTACGCAAGTATTCCATTCTATTCAATTCTCTTAATTGACCACTGTTGACAACAACATTAAAAGGATTATTCATTATACCTGCTTTTCGGCCCCTTCATCATACTAAATTTCAATTAAACAAACCCCTCCTCAACCCCCCCCAAGATCCAACTCAATTTACACTTTTCACTCATCCCTTCACTCCTTCCCTCACCCCTCAAATTAATGGCTCCCTCGACCATATTATATGTATTTTGTATCTTGCTTTTTCATCTTCAAATCACCAGAGGGAAACAAGTTAATTGCAATAGCTTATCATGCGGTGATATTGATATTCAATTTCCTTTCGGTTTGAAAGGATCCAATCAAGATCGTAGCTGCAGCTATTACCCAGCTCCCACTTTCCATCTCTCTTGCATCAACCGCACCCAAACAATTTTGACGCTCCCATATTTCGGAGACTTGCTCGTGAAAAGCATCGATTACGAATCCCAAAGCATCCGAGTCAACGACCCAAACGGTTGCCTCCCGAAACGGTTCTTACATAAATGGAACCTCTCCGGTTCGCCTTTCAAGTTAAACCCCGCCCTTTACGGAACAACACCGTACAACCTCACTTTCCGACGTTGTCCATCCAATGTAACAGACTCGCCTCAATTGCCGTTAGTGCCGATTTCGTGCCTCAGCAACTCCAACAACTCTTCCGTCATAGTTTCGTGGTCGCAGCCTATTGTGTCGTCACCCATGGTGTCTCAATGGTGCGAGGTTATTTCATGGGCTTATGTCCCCCTCCCAACGTTGGACATACCGATGTGGCCCTTCTGGCCCGATCTCAACGACGATCTTCAGTTGGTGTGGGCCCAACCCAGGTGTAAGGAGTGCGCACTTAGTGGCCAACTTTGTGGGTTCTCTAAGGATAACAGTCTTCAAGTTGCGTGCTACCCTAGTTCTCGTTCCTCTAGCAAAGGTACGTATGATTGGATGTATGCGCTTTCCTTTTCTACTTTGGTCTATGGCTGTGGTTCGAATGATTGAGGTTTCTAATTTGTAGTTAGGTAATGCGTCGCGTCGCGATTGGTGAACCTAATTAGCTTTTATGTTTAGTAATTAGCAGCATCACTCTTTCAACTCAACGAGTCTATCGCAGTAGTGCCCCAAACTTTGTTAAGGAAAGGGCTATGTTAGAAATTGGCAACGTGCAATTAATTTTCATTCATAGAAACATGTTACTAAGTAATGAAATGTCTAGTGAGAACAGCTGAATTTTACTTGTTGCCAAACTTGGACCAACTTATTCCAACGGTTTTTTCAACGGATTGAATTTTACGGTGGGTGTGAGGCAACGAGTATGATCAATGTGGGGCAATATCTTTAATAGGATGGACGTATTTTACTGGATCTTTCGGCTTGGGGTTGTGATTTTCGGGGGTAGGTGGGTTGCACTTTATCAGTGATCTCCAATTGTAGGAAAATGGACAGAAGCATCGTTTTTCAAATTATTTTTAGGACACTTGGCACATACTCCTCGACAGCAATTGAATAATAGAAACATGATAATGACGAGTTCTATTCTACAATACGACAAGCAAGTAGAAGATTTAGAGATGGGTTTGTTTCTTCCAAGGCGTGATGCATGCAGTGCAAGATTATAAAAATATTATGATAAATGTTAACTAACCAGTGTTCTAAAGAAAATTATTTTTTTTATTAAAAAAATGTGGTATTGCAGTTCTTGTGTTTTATATTTAAAAAAAATGCTTATTTTTAATTGGATATTAAGATTTTGTTAGCTTTATTTATTATGAAAACTAATTTGAAAATTTTTAAAAAATGTAGTATTATTTAACATGTAAATTTTTAATGTTTTTTAAAATTTATTAAAACTAAAACGATTTATAAAAATAATTGAGTCAAATATTTATTTGAAGGTATAAAGAAATTTTTAAGCAGCTTTACAAAATATTTTATTTTAAGAAAGAAACCATTTTAAGCATCTGAAAATAGTTCACTGAAAAAAATAACTTACGAGTGAAAAATGATTATTCTCTTTTTTCTCTCTCTCTTCTCTGTTTATTTATCTATCTTTTTTTAACAGTTTCAGGCATTAATTCACGTGACATATTCCATTAACAGGTCTATCAAGAAGTGCCAAATATGGCCTAGCTATTGGAGTGGGAATACCTGGACTCTTGTGTATAATTGGGTTTTCTTGTTTTTTATGTGGTAAGTTCAGGATGATGACCCATCGTGGACCTAGCACAGAGCTTCCAGCCACAATTTCCTTAGAACCTATCCCTTTTGTAATGGGACTTGATGGTGCTACTATTGAAAAGTATCCCAAAACTCTTCTTGGGGAGAGTGGGCGCTTATTGAAGCCCAATGACAATACCTGTGCAATTTGCCTCTCTGAATATGAACCCAAAGAGACCTTGAGGAGCATACCCGAGTGCAACCATTATTTTCATGCTCAGTGCATAGATGAGTGGCTCAAAATGAATGGCACGTGCCCAATATGCAGGAATTCACCCGAAGCATCTTCCACCATCTCTTTTTCTTCCTTATCTCCCACTTCTTCATTGTCCTCTTCATAATACATAGTCCCAGTTAAAGCAACATATATGGATACAGTGTAGATCCAGAATAGTGTTAGTAATCTGTGTTTATACTATTTTTATTTTTCTGACTTGCTATGAACGAGAGGAGCCAGAAAAAATCTATAAAAACCAAATAAAACGGGCTTTCAACAAAGCCCCGGCAATCGTTCATCTGTTTATAGAGTATGCAGCACCTGATTAGCGATAAACACATGAGAATTTGTATTTGTATAATGAATTTGTAAAATTTTCTATGTAATAAAGAGGACAATTAAGATGAAAAATTTTGTGGTAAGTGTATATAAAAAAAGAAATTAGTGATATAGAAATGTGGTTGAAAAACATTGCATGGATTATGTATTTTTAAACATATTGCATTGGGAAATAAAGTTAAAAAACAAAATAACTTTAATTAATGAAACTTGCACCAAAGCAATTTTAATTAATAAACTGAAATAAAAATGAAGAAAAACAAGTAAAATTTCCTAAATATTAACAGGAAAATCTAAAATTGTCCGTGTAAGTAACTCTTCGACAATTATAATCACCAGCAACAGCATTACGATTTTCATCAAAAGATTTTGTAAGGAAAACTAGGATAAATTGTTTGTTTGTAACTAAGTAGCTTATGTTTTGTGTATATCTGATATTTAATCAGACACTTGTCTTTTATTTTTTAAGAGGAGAGGGCTTTCACATCGTGAGTGGAGTGGATTTCATAATTTCCATATTTATTAGATTCTTTTTTTTCCCATACATAATACAAGGGTATATCTTTTTTATGGTTATTGTATTCAAAACATGCTTCAATATTTAGTGATTTATTTGCATCTACTTTCATCGGGGGTGTAGCTCATATGGTAGAGCGCTCGCTTCGCATGCGAGAGGCACGGGGTTCGATTCCCCGCACCTCCATTTTTAATTTTGGAATTGATCGAAGCCGCTGGATTTTACAAATTGGGAGGAAAATGAATGGCCCCAACCTTCACGTTATCCATGCTTGGCACTGTCTCCCACAACACATAACGACCTCTCGTTCCTAATCCCAGAGCACCACAATGTAATAGTCTCACTCTCCACAGAACCCAATTCACAACCGTCTCTGCTATGACTCTGAACTTGTGCACTCCATGCTTTTCTCGCTTACTTCATCACCCTTCTTCTTCCTCTCTTCCCAAACTCTCCGAAACCTTCTTCGCCACATCCTCACTCCCCAACCAATCCAGATTCCTCAACGCCAAAGCGTCCGTCAGCGAGAGCCACAATGAAATCTCTCACGACACTGCCTCCGATTCCGACTCACTGGACCAACAACTCCTCCTCCGAGTCGCCGCAAACGCCAAAGACGCCGACGAGGCATTACAGATGATCGCCAACACCTCTTCCCGAAACGACGGCGTCATTTCCACCTCTGATTGTTGCTCCATTATTTCCGCTGCTCTTAACCGCAATAATCCCCAACTCGCTTTGTCCATTTTCTACGCCATGCGCGCTAGTTTTCACCAAGGTTATTTCTCTGCATTTTTTTCACTGTTGTTGCTGTGAAAACTATTGCAATTTGATAACGCTTGTGTTTGTGTACCGTGTGACCAGTTGGCGAGAGTGGCATTTCGGGGGAGAGATGGAAGTGGTCGAGACCTAATGCGCATGTTTACACGTTGTTGATTCAGGGTTTGGCGGCATCGTTAAGGGTTTCTGATTCTCTTAAGGTGATTAAGTATATTTGTGAGGTCGGCGTTTCTACTGGTGAGGAGGTATGGTTTAAGATTTTTTTTTCCCCTTTTCGTTTTTCTCTGAGTCATTTATGGCATTATGCATTGAATCACTAGGCATATATATACATTGTGAATTGTAATAGATTTGGTTTTGAAGTATGTGGGCAATGATGTAGTGAAAATTGGACTTGTTTCTGATCCCCAATGTCAACTGTTTTTGTTGTTGCAGGTCCCTTTTGGGAAGATAGTGAAGTGTCCTAGTTGTCGGATAGCTGTTGCTGTTGCACAGCCACAGCAAGGTATTCAGGTACTCTTGTGTCTGTATCAGACATTTATTTTATAGTTGCGTTGATTATCATACGTAGTTTACTGATCCCTACGGATATCTTATTCTTGATATTCTGTAATTTCACTAACCCTAAATCATTGGGATATTCAAGGGCGGGCTAAGCTTGTGCTTCAATATCCATTTAGTGCATAAATAAATTGTGTATATTTCCCTCTCACATTGGGCATTTTTAAAATGGTAACTCAACTAAATTGTTGCCAACTTCCATTCCATCCTCAGCATGCTGATATCAAGTCCAAAGTTATGATAAGAGCACCTTGTGAAAAAGATAATTTGATGTTCAACGTTGTTGATTGGAGACTGATTATGATAAAGCAGTCTCAAACTCACTGGGCCTTATTCTGCAGCTTTCTCTCTTTTGTTTTCCTTCAATGTAGGTGTAAGTTTTGATACACTTGAGTATTATTGACATTTCTTTGCTCATTAACAAATTCCTTGGTGAGATGTTGTCAATGAGGGTTAATCCTCAGTGTGTACAGAGTTCTTATTGATGAGTGTGATTTGATTTACTGCTATGGTCCTTTGTCGAGATACATGAAACTATCTTTCTATTGGTTCTCTTAAACATCTATTTTTTTAAATGAAGCTATCTCTTGTCATATTCTCATAATCATATGTATTTACTACTCATGACTATATGATAGTATTAAGGCAAGTATGAACATTTCTTCTGCAGATAGTATCTTGTGCAAAGTGTCGCTACCAATATGAACTTGTATCGGGTGACATAGTCAGGATTCAATCAGAAGAAATCAGGTTGGTTAGTCATATCATTTTATCATTTTCTTTCATCTATGCAAAAAACTAAAAAACTTAGATTTTTAAAGTTCTTTTGATAAAACTAGTATGGTTTTTTACAATTTTACTTTTAATTGGGATGATGTATTTAACTCCTCTATTGTTTGATTTTGAGTTTCCACTAATCTGAGTTTTATATTTGCCGTGGGAAGCACCATACATAAATTGTTCTGGTGTTTGTTCTCCCCCCTTCCTCTTTATTTTGCTGTAACCAATGGTTGTCTTTTCGTTAATACATATGTATGTGTATGGTGTTGATCATGGAGTATTCACTTTTTCTAAGGATCTCCTCATACCGAACGCAGCATGGACATTACGGCATGGGAAAGGGGGTTAAGATACCTGAAACTGATGAAGCAAAGCATTCCTGCTGCTGTTCATTCTATTGTGGTATGTACTCTCCACTCACCTTTGAATCTGATTGTGAGGTTGTCTTCTGATTAGATAATCATGCTATAGTTTTTTGTTGAGAACCTTTATATAACTTGTGTCGAAGTTGGTTGGTCAGTAATGAGCAGCCAGTGAAACAATGAATTCTTTTTGATGCATTAGCTTTTTTAGACCTCTACTTTTTGATTTCTACAAACACATGTAGTAGACAAAATTGAGATCCTACCTAAGATTGGAAGGGTTAGTGAAACATGTAAATTGTATGGTTGTAACACAGATTGTAAGATCCTACCTAAAATACAAAATTATATTTAAATACATACATATGCATAAAACGTTATAGAAACTAGGCAAAATAACCTTAAATTACTTACAGCCTCAAATTTATAGTCACAACAATTTCAAATTCAGAACCCCCCAGCATCATCATTAGAGTTTGCTTCCAACCCTAGAAAAACAAGTTAGAGTGTGTGATCAGGATCATTGAGGCATGTGAAAATCATAAAATTGCACGATCCTATGAGTAAAATTGCAATTTTAACTATCATCACTGTCCTTCTAGTAATTTTGACCTTTCTAAATATATTTTTTATATGCCAAGGTTGATTCCTTCTACTACTAAGTGTTGGAAATACTTTTGTAATATTTTCTCTCCCCAGCCAGGATCTCATTGGAGATACCTGCACTGGGTAAAGGTTTCATTCCTAGCTTTTAACTCTCTGCAACATTTATTTTGTGTTTATATAATTTGTACAATGTTGTAATCCTATTGCCAATTTCTTGTCTTCTTTTGTATGATTCCCAGTTCACATCTTCGGTGATCCCTTCAGCTAATCTTTCAGATTGTTTTGGTTGGCTATGTTTTCTTATCAATTTGGCTCTGAGACTTAAGAGATAGAGCTTCATTTCTTAGTTTTTTCTTTTTTTTAGTGTTAATTTGTTACTGAAATTAGCTCATGCCAATTACTGATATCCTTACCTATCACATCCTATTGTGAAGTCTTGCTTCTATTAACTCTTGACATCTATCCTTTCTTCTTCTACCATTTAGGTGCAGACCCCTTCTGGTATGGCTCGCACTCACAGATTTGCAACTGAGACAGTTGATCTGCCAGCACAAGAAGGCGAAAGAGTAACTATTGCTGTGGCAACTCCATCAAATGTTTATAGGAAGGTGGGCCCCTTTAAATTCAGTCCAAGGGCCCCCGATTTCTATCCTGGTGAGGCTATGTGCATAACAAACCACAAAGATGGGCGGGAATCACCACTTTTAAGAGCCCCAAGAAAAGAAGAAAATTCATCATTACTCAAACCCTCTCTTCTCTTTCCACTTATTGCTTTGCTGGCCACTGGTGATGCTGCTTCAGGACTTATTGACCCCAGCCTGCCCCAATTCCTCTCAGTCGTTGCTATTTCAACTCTTGTTGTTGGATCTACTTTGAACTCCGTTGTTCTTCCCCAGTTTAATCAGGTACTGTAGTTAATTCATCAGTTTTTTTCTCCTTTGAGGAAGCTTGTTTATCTTCTCTTAATTCATTCAAGTTTACTTCTCGACAGAACCAATTTTCTGTTGGCAATACCTTATAATTTTGTTTATCCAATTGAAAACCAACTTGGAAATTCTATTCACAACAGTGGAGGCTTTGTACTTTGTTTCACAACTTCACATCCTTGAAATTTAATGCAAGAAATAGGAAAAAAAAGGTGATTCTTAGAAGTTGTGTGGTTTTAGAAAAAAATTTATTTTTTCTTTAAATTACAAATTACTACTTTATTTTCATTCTCTTTTGTTTTCATATATTTGTATAGAAAATAGTGAAAATAACTTTTTATTGTTTGTACTGTTACTTGTACAAATTTTTGAAAAAGGAAACAAAATAAAAATAAGATGATAAACAACAAATGAAAATGGAAAACATTTTATGAAACCAAACAGCCCTTTATATTTCCTTTCCAATTATGATGTTCTGGCCCCTTTATTCAGTGTTGACACATTAGTCATTACTGATTATTCTCATGAAAGACATTACAAGTTTATCTGCATTTATTTATGGCAACAGCTTCCACAGAAGTCAGTAGAAGCAATTGCTATCAAACAACGACTTCTATCTCAATATGATGTTCTTCTGTCTCGCATCAATGACCTAAAAGAAGCTGCTGAAAAAGAGGTGTGCTACTTGCATGCTTTATGATTAGCATGAGAATATTGACCTTTATTCACTTATTTTTGGGGAGCAGAGGAATAATGTCTCCTTAGATTTTTACTGTTTATCTATCCAAATTTTCCACCCCTTGTAATCACAGCAATAGTATGCTCTTTTGGAGAAACTGTCAAGTTCATCAAAGGAAGGAAATATGTGATATGCATTGCCTTAGACATGAGCGTTCATACTTACCAAAATCCCCGGTGGATTGAGTTCTGCTTAATACAATGTTACATTGTTTAAGATGGAAATTTAAAAGTTTTTAATAATACAATCTTTACTGACAGCTAACACACAACAACAATTGATAATAGTGCAACCTAATGCACTGTGAATCATCCTGCATTCTCAAAAAAATATTGGTCTACATATCCTTCCTTACTAAGAAGAAAAGAAGGAAAAACAGTTTCATATCTGGCTCTAATTGCCATGAAAGTATCATGTAAAATGCTAATTTGTGGAAAAGTCAGTCTGATTGAAATTAATGCAGAATAACTTAATAATTGAATTGAAGCATTTAAATTATATACTATGAACATAATTGGTAGTTGATGATAGAAAGTACTTCAAAAGGTTGTTAGTATATTCTGGAAATTATCCGAGCAAAGTTATTTGGTTATATGTCTCTTTTCCCACGATGAGCGCAGGATTTTATGAAAGTAATTTTTATAGATAATAGTTTCTTTCTTCTCTTTCTGTGGCATTATATCTGCAGCCTGAGTTATATAAATTTGATTATACTTTTTTTGTAGATTTGGATGTTAGCTCGAATGTGCCAACTTGAGAACAAAATTTCAGCTGTTGGAGAACCTTCTTATCGGTGAATTGCTGAAACTTCATACATATGTTTCTAGAAATAATAATTTTTTTCCTACATGACCGTTTATGTTGATGTCCTTGAGCTTTTTTTCTTTTGTCTTTACTCCTCCTTGGTCTAGTTTGACGATACCATTTGTCATTTTATTTATATCCAGGAATCGGAGAAGTAAAGTCAAAAGGGTGCGAGAGAGCCTGCAAAACTCCCTTAGGGGACGGATTGAATTGATTGACAGCTATGCTAGGGTATGTTTTCTTTTAAAGTGTGAATAGAATATCTTCTCTCCTGAGAAATACAAACAAATGAATTCTCCTGCTTGCTTTTATAATATTTAAGTCAATAAATACATCTTGATAGTGGTCTTTGGTCAGATTTCCTCGATGATTGAAATTGAAGTGGAGATGGAGACTGATGTTCTAGCCGCTGAAACTGCCAGTAATGTGGTAAACTACTTAATCATTTATTCATTCTGGATCATGATATCCTTGCCGTAACATTGATTTTACTTAGCTGAGGGTTCATGTTTTGCAGGATAGTATCACAGAACAGATAGAACAAATCATGGAGCTTGAAAATTTGGAGGAGGTATATGTTCCTAAAATGCATGCCTATTACCTGCCACTATTGTTTTGATTATGGCCTATACTATCCTTTTATGAAAGCTCACTATAATATTCCTCCCAGAATTATACTACACCTAGTCTTAAATACAAGATTCTCTTAACTACTTTACAAGAGTTAAGGAAAGTAGTTAACTTCATTAATGATATCAAATTTATCAATTTAAATAATTTTTTTAAATTTACCTTTATAATTGTTGGGACCAATTCTATTATTATTTTTCTATCTAATTAATTACTTGGTCTCAAATAAGGGTGTTTTTGTTTTAAAAAATTAATGCAAGAAACAATATGTAAAGAGTTTTATAAAAAGGATCATTACAAACTCTCTAGAAGAGTTTTATATTTAGGATTAGAGATGGTAGTAAAATTCGTAGACTAGGAAATTGAAAGCATTTCTATCGTAGATTTTTCTTTTGAGCTGAATGTCTAGCTCGGCAATTAAGAAATCCCTCTCCCCGTCTCCCTCATTCCTGCTAAGTACATGATTAAATGATTGGGCTATCCCTTCAGATGCGTCGACTTGCCATGATGAAAAATTATGTTTTTAGTTCTTGAAAATTTATTTAGTCTCTTATTTTTAACTTCTTTCTAAAACAAGTCTCCTATAAAATGTTGTTTGTTACAAAATTGTCCTTTTCATTTTTTATTTTCCATTTGATCCCTCAAAAATACATGAATTTTTAATTTAATTCCTCATTTTAGGAGATCAAATGAAAAATCGGAGATCTAAATGAAAAGCTCATGATGTTTAAAGGAATGGAATGAAAATTTTCATAATTTTTAGAGGGACTAAATGGAAATAAAAATTCCGAAGAGTCTATTTGGTAAAAAACTATTATGAAGGAATGATTTGAAAAAAAAAAACTTTAAAATGAGGGAGTAAGGGTTTGTTTGTTGCTGTTTTGATTTTTAATTTTTTAAAATTATATTTAAAAACAATTTTAAAAAACTGTTTGTTAAGAAAAAAAAAATTGTTTTTAAAAACAGAAAACAAACAAGTTTTACAATTTTTATAGCCGAAAAATTTATCTAAGCCTATATAGTGACAAACTGACAATCTAGTCAAACTTGAAGCAACTCCATATCAAGACGTTTAATGTGGCAGTAACAATTTACTCCTAGCTTTTTTGTAACATAGTATCCTCGTTTTACTTTTCTACACAGAGATGGAAAATACAAGCAGAAGCCAATGATGAGGCTGAAAGGCTTCTTAGTTCCCAGCCCATGCCTTTGGAAGAAGTTTAAAGATGTGTTTGGGTGCATATGGTTCGTGCCACTGCATCATTAGTTAAGCTTCACCTCACCTCCCACCTCGATGATCTTTTCTTGACTGAGCAAAAGAGAAGCATCGCGACTCAGCACTGCCTTTTAGCAGGCAAGTTTTGAAACTTCGGTATCTTGGAAGAATCACCATTATGTCACGAGAAGGAATGCATTTTATACGATCATAAATGTGGGAGCGTTTGACATCTAATGCAAATATTTGTTGCCATTGAAATCCGTCCTCGCGGTTCTCAGTCAAAGGTAGATAGATAACTGCACACGGTGGTGTAAATTCGTTGTTAATTGTCTTGGTGATATTTTATTAATGAAGTGTCTCATGTGAAAGCATTATCGTTATTTGTTGTCATTGTTGCAATTTTTTTTTCATAATCGTTCCTAAGTCAATACGGGAAACACCACCACTTCTGAGCAGCTGTTGTCCATACTCTTTTGGATGATTTTAACTTGTTTTTAATAATAGTTTTTCAATATTTCTAAAATATAAATGGAACATTATAGGATTTAAAATCATAATTCCTCATATCCTCTTATTAAGCTTTTTCTAGAAGGTTTTTAGGGCTTGCAACTTCCACGTTTTAGGATGAAAGTATTCTCTTATTTCTCACTAATCTAACAAAGCCCAAAAATACGTAGAATGTCATTACTCCCATTAAAAAAATAATCTTCCATTAATCCCCAACCAAACTTAGCCTAATAAAAGAGCGAATGATTGTTGTTAGATTGTTAATAAAGAATGTGTTCTTCGTTTTTTTCTGTGTCCTCCCGGGGGCTTCCCATACGCATAAAGAAAAGCCTATAACAATGGACTAAGCATCAAAACAAAAACCAGCACCAGTCCAACCCAGCTTGAAACATAAATTATACAATTATTCACAATCAATTAGGACCACATCGTTTGTTCCCTCACAGAACGACATGCTTATTTTGAATACTATATAACCCGGTGGGTTAGGCGTTTTCTACAGGTCAAATATCGAGCCCCTTTTTTATCTTCAAAGAAAAAATAGTGACGTTTTTCCTTGTAGAATAATGCTCAATATATTATTCAGTGATTATTGGGGTGAGATTGTCTGTGATTAATGGTGAAAATTGTAGAAATTTAAGCAATGTGTGTAAATAACAAAATTTTAATATAAAATAGTTATTAAATTATTTACGGACGCTTGTTTTATTAAATAAAACCTTAAATAAAAAATATAGAAAAAATATTTATTCTTAAGCCTCCAACACTTATTATTAAAGTGCTTACACAGTACTAATAAACTTAAGAAAATATTATGTATCATTTTTAGATTGATAACTACAATTCTTTTAATATTTTATAAATTAAAATATATTAACATTTTTAATAAATCACTCAATTTATTATATATTAATATAAAATTAATAATAACAATTATTTCACATGTAAAAATATATTTTATATTATCTCAAATTTTAAGATACCGTAGAAATTACCTATTATTGATATATATTTTAAAATTAGTTTAAATTTAAAATTGACATGCAAATTCAGCTGAAACTTGAACGGGTTGCCTATGTATCCATTTCAGTATTTAATTATTATTAACTAAATTAAAAAATTATCAATCAAATTAACTATTTTGTAAGAGAACATTTGAGTATTAAAAACGAAATACTTTTATTAAAATAATTGTTTAATCTTATTTTTTATTGACTGACATAATAATAATAATAATTTTAAATATAATGATAGTATAAAAGTTTTATATACTATCACCCAAACATAAATTATTGTATAGAAAATTGGTTGATTTTTGTAATAATGAATATAAAGGATATATATTTTAAAATTTTAATTAATCGATGATATATACATTTTTATATTCACAGTAGATTCAAATTAAATTTTAATAATAATAAATGGAAAGAGAATATGAAAATTGATCATTAAGATACAGTCGTGTTGACTTTGAGGAATCAAGTTTCCAAAGTCAATGCTAAGGGTCAAAGCTAAACGTTGATTAACGAATTAAAAAGCAGTAGTATCGTACGCACAAATTAAGGTAACAGAAAAAGTGCATATACAAATTAAAACTTTTTAATAAATCATAAATAAAAGTATCCTATTATTTTTGTTAAAAAATTTTAATCTTAATATTATTCACTCTTCAACCTCGCTCTTCACATTAAGAAACACATTGGTTTATTAATAATAATATCGTATATTATATATAAATTTTAAAATTAAATGATATTTATACACACAGGTAATTAATATATATATATATATATAATACAAAATATAAAAATGCATATTGTAAACTATCTAAAGTATCTAAAAAATACATAACTAATTTCAATTTAAATTCAGAATTTAAAATTATTCAATTTAAATACTATTATTCCGTACACAGTGAATATATTTATTAAGAAATAATAAAATATTAAATCAGTTGAAATAAAACTGAGTTATGGTTTGGTTTATATTTTTTTTAAAAAAAGAAATATTTAATATAATCATAAAAATATGTAGTTACAGTTTAGTTTGAACTAATTTTTTAAAAATTAAAGTCAATCTAACTAGAAGCAGTTTTGGATGGTTTTTATATTTTAATTTTGTTAGAAGACAATACATAAATTATATTATTATCTCTTATTCACTATTTTTAATTTAGTTTTTTAATATAAAAATAAAATTTGTATGATAAAAAAATGAGACACGAAAGTAAGAATTTAATTCATTAAATAAGAAGCATAGTTGTACAAGTATGAATAAGAAGTTAACTTATTAAATAAAATTGTATATATACATTACAAGTTAGTTTTAAAAATTAGATCCAATTCAACATTTTTTTTTGTTTTTATGATTTTAATTTTTCAGTATTCAATTAGTTTGATTTTTATTTTTTGTCTCAATCTTTACCTTGAATTGGATCAATTACGGTGGTTCTTAATGGAGTGTATTGAAAAATTTTAATTAAATGAAATAAGTAATAATAAATGTCATTTAAAATAAACGTTATTTTATATCAAGGAAGGAACAACCTTACTTTACTACCAGTAAGTGTCATTTAAGAAAGAAAATCCATTTTTTACCAAAAAAAAACTCATAATAATTTATTCCATCAATAAAGTACAATAATGTTGGAAAGAATAATATCATATGAAAATAGTAGCAAGAGTTAATGAAAATTGAAACAGCTCATGGCTTAATTCCATTTTATAATGGCCACTTAGCCAAAAAAAACAAAAGATCCAACTAGATAGAGTAACTGTCATTAACTTGTTTTTAATCAACGAATCATTAACCCAAAAAACTAGCTCTTAAGAAAGAAAAATGACGAGAGAGAGAATCATTAGAAAATTAGAAATTGTGGTGACTGCTGTGGAAAGAATAAGAATTAAGAAGCGCCAAAGACAAAATCAGAACAAGAAATCCACGTGGCTGACCTGGGACTTCCAAGTATAAATATTGGAGTTAGAAAAAAATAAAAATGAAAAATCGCTAAATAAAGCAAAGTGCTACTAAACCTAAGAATAGAGTATATGACTTTATTAACGTGTCACAGAAATCTCGTTTTCTTCGAAATCGTCGTGGCGCGTAACAAACTCTAACTTTTCCACTGCCACCTATATAACTTACCCTTCCTTTTCTCTCCTCTGTTACCATTCCATTCACGTTTACGCTTTCTTTCACTCATCACCGGTTTCTATCTCGCCAAACGCTTCAATTATGCCAACCCAAACCGTTCTCGTCACCGGCGGAGCCGGTTACATCGGTAGTCACACCGTTCTTCAGCTTCTGCTCGGCGGTTTCAAGGCCGTCGTCGTCGACAACCTCGACAATTCTTCCGAAGCCTCCATCCAAAGAGTCCAAAAACTCGCCGGAGAATTCGCCGACAACCTTTCCTATCACAAGGTATGAACGCTTCTTAAACGTTTTTATTTTTTTATAAAAATTCAATGCAGGCTCTCAAAATTTGTGATTTTTATTGATGTTGGTTTGGATTTAACCATTGTTTTAATCTATAGTGCTTTGGTTTGGAATTGAGTAATTTGATTTTTATTTGTTTTTTGCGTGATTAATTCTACCTTATAAATTGCTTGGGCCCCACCAACTGGTTAAAGCAAAAGTTTTGTTCTTTATTCCATACTTTAGTGAACGAACAGATGGTGACAGGTTCGAGTTATGTGTGTGTGTTTCATAATGATTTGGGCTGTTTCTGTATCACAATTTGCCCGACAAATTACATTATCTACTTTTTGATGTGATGTGAGATTATTCTGTTATTAAGATCCATTCTTGTTCTATCGCTTTCTGTGATGTCTATTTTCCTTTACAATAAGAATTCTATTTTTTAAGTTTTTCCCCAAGTCCACCTTGTGTTCTTTTCCTCCCCCCGATGACGCTGCGTTGAAGCGTTATCTTGTTTGTTTTATAATTAGATAATTAATTTTCACATTTTTTAATGTAAAACACGCGTTCTAATAAAAATATTATAATTAATTTATGTACACATTTTAAAACATTCAATAAATTAAAATTAATTTTACTTAACTTTAAACTAAATGGTGACTTAGTTGCATACTGTGTTTATGTTTTTTTATACGTTCAGTTACTTACTTGCTTTAATATAGACTATACTATGCTTGGGTTGTATCTAGTGTACATGTCTATAGCAGCGGTTAACGTTGATGCAAGAAGAGCACTTCAATAATTTTACAATTTGTTGTCTACATGAAGTCGAGAATATTTACAATTATTTTATTATGGTGATTATTGAACTATTTTTCCTACTGCAGTTAGACCTCCGAGACAGAGATGGACTAGAGAAAATATTCTCTTCCACAAAGTAAGGATTATGCAGAAGTTACTGTAGAAAAAGAAAAAATGATTGATCATTTCTTGTCTATGCTTCACGTTCTTTTATAGTTTTACCTGATCACTGATCATACAAGTTATAATTGCTTTTTATGTATGTGCTTTTCTTCCAGGTTTGATTCTGTCATACATTTTGCTGGACTAAAAGCAGTAGGTGAAAGTGTGCAGAAACCATTACTCTACTTTGACAACAACCTGATTGGGACAATCGTTCTCCTTGAAGTCATGGCTGCCCACGGATGCAGGAAGGTAACTTTGTTTTAGTTTTGTACTTTTGTGTCCAGCACAATGGGCTTCAAATGCATGGAAAGAATGTCATGATATATATTCATAATATCGTCACACTTCCATAGCATTTTAATTTATGAGACTGGAATCGAGGTCGCCTTGATGGGGCATAATATCATATACATCTAGTACTGGTAGTGGAAAAGTATCAATCATTCAATTACAAGAGTTTGTTAAGAAATTCAATCGAAGCTACATCTTGATACGAAGTCTAGCCTTTCTTCTTCTAGTTCCCTGCTACCACGGAATGTCTTGTGAAATTGGTTACGCAGTATATTTTCTTGATGCTGCAATCTGATTATTTAACTAATTTTATTTTTTTTCTTGAATGATTTCAGCTTGTGTTTTCATCTTCAGCCACTGTCTATGGCTGGCCAAAGGAGGTTCCATGTACTGAAGAGTTCCCTTTGTCAGCAGCAAACCCATACGGACGAACCAAGGTATGACCATGAAATTGTTGGATAGCAACTAAAGATGATGGAAGTTTGCAAGAAAAAAAGCTTTTTTTATATATATAATTTGTTGAACCTTGTAGTAATTTTTATCTGGGAAGCTAGCAATGATATGTGATGAGAGTTTTGTCTTTTCAGCTTATGATCGAAGAAATTTGCCATGATATCTACCGTGCAGATTCAGAATGGAAAATAATACTGTTGAGGTACTTCAACCCAGTTGGTGCACATCCTAGTGGTTACATTGGTGAGGATCCTCGTGGAATTCCAAATAACCTCATGCCCTTTGTTCAGCAAGTGGCAGTTGGCAGACGCCCTGCATTGACAGTTTTTGGAAGTGATTATAAAACAAATGATGGCACTGGAGTATGTTCTCACTCTTTTTCACTTGTTTTTGTGAACTTTTTTCTTGAAAACTTGCATGCAATGCTCACACCCTATACACTTTTTCCCTTTGATTTGGACATCCCGAACTAACCATAATCAATCAGTTTTTTGTGCATGCATGTGTTCCCATACCTTTGATTTCTTCAGAGGATCTTACAGGATGGTTCTTGTCTTTTTCTCAGGTTCGTGACTACATTCATGTTGTTGACTTAGCAGATGGGCATATTGCTGCATTGCGTAAACTGGAAGATACTAAAATAGGTATTAGTCCAAATTTATCATTTTCTTCTAGTAATTTACTCGGTATGTTTGGTTTGGTAAACTCTGAAGAGTAGCAATGATTGTAACTGTTGTTTGATTCCTATAAGCCAGTGATAATTTACCGTTTGGCCTTTTTAATCTTTAGATTTTCTTTTTATGTTGGTAAAATCTGGTTTTGTGTATGTGCAGGTTGTAAGGTTTATAACTTGGGAACAGGAAAGGGAACATCAGTACTGGAGATGGTTAAAGCTTTCGAACAAGCCTCTGGAAAGGTAACAGTCTGATGGTTCTACTTCTGCTCTCGTATCTGGTATATAACCCTTGCTGCAATTTTTGTGACACTTTCCATAATGCAATTTGGCATCTCATTTTTATCGTATGTTTTCTTTTCTTCCTGGATGTTTAAATTTGACAGTGTAACCATTCATTTGACATGCTACGTGTATCTGATCAGATGTAGTCTGATGATACACCGACATGGTAGAAATGTGAAACAAGCTGAAAGTTTTTTTGGACCTGATGGTTCTAATTTATGTCCCTCAACGACATAATGTATGGTCCCTTTGGCTGATATATATTTACAACATGAAAGTAGGAGAAAATTCCACTACATGCCATATATAACATATTCGGATTAAGTTATTCTTCAGTACATGACTAATTAGTTTTTACAATTTTATACTGTTCAGAAAATTCCACTTGTAATGGCTAATCGGAGACCTGGAGATGCTGAAGTTGTCTATGCATCAACAGCGAAAGCAGAAACAGAACTTAAATGGAAGTAAGTGTTAATTTGGTTTCAAGTGAATAATTACATGAGGCTATCCTCCCTGAATTATTGCCTGGACTGAACATTTTTAATAATTGTTCACGCTATGCAAATTTGCAACTAATATATTGGGAAATGTTTTGATCTTTTGATAAAAGTTTGGGAAGGTTTCTCGAATTGTTCCTTTTTTTCCCCTTACAAATTTATTTTACTTGCAGAGCCAAATATGGCATTGATGAGATGTGCCGCGATCAATGGAATTGGGCCAGCAAAAACCCTTATGGCTATGGTGGATCTGAAGATTCTTCTTAGTGACCTTAACGATGGTCGAATATAGTATATTTTTTTAACCCTCACATAATAGGCGACTAGGAATTTAGCAAGGTGGAAAATCCTTTCGTAATTATGAATTCTAATTCTAATTACATGTTGAATAAGTTGTGGTTTAGTTTAATTTAATGATTCTTTAGGTTCCGGCTTATAGGTTATTGAATGAGCATATTCACATGTTCTTCAATAACATGAATGCATCCTGTTTTGTAAATCTAAGCCACACATTTTAGAGTATGACTAACAGGAATAATCTTATCTCACTTCGTTATCAATACTCAAGTTTTACATAGTATATGTTTTATTTTTCCTTCCATTTTCTCATTTAAAAAAAAAAAATACCTATGAGCCATTATCTTGCAATAAAAAACAATATGTTTTTTAAATTGAAGAAAGATGCATATAAATGATTCACAACTTGAGCCATACTAATACGAGGTATGAAAGACAACTAAAAAAGACGTTGAAAAAAGTCAATACACGTCTGCAACAAGTTCACTCGTTAAGGTGAAAGAAACAATCAAAACAACAATTCTAAAAGCAAAGCTCCTATATTCCGACATATATTGAGGGGGGTAAATTAGAAAAAGAAAAAACTATAAGATTTGTGTGAACCAGAAGGGCTTGTAGTTGGTCAAGGACGCTGAATATAAAGATACTTTGAGACTGGTTTGAAGGGATCATCAGATAGAAAAATAGAAATATGTTTTATAAACAGATGAATTTTTTTATTAAGGTATAAACTTTATATTATATATTAAAAGAGAAAATGACATAAAATATACAAATAAAATAATCAATCATAATAAAATAGTTTATTTTCATGATATTTATTTAATTAAATTTTAAATTTTATAAGTAGGATATAATAAAATTAAAATATTTACAATTTTTTTTTGTAAAAATAAAGGAGACTAAAATTGTTTTATAGATTCAATATTTTAAATTTTTTAGTCCTTTAAATATTAAAAATTAAAAATACTTTTTTACTTCAATTTATGAACTAAAATATTTCTATCATTTAAGGGACTAATTTAATATTTAATCTTGATTAAATATTTTAGACTTTTTCTGAATACTAAACTATTAATTTTACATTTTGCTATAGGAATTTATAATAATGTATTTGTTAAAATACAGTTTAAGATAAATAAAATAATATTTAATATTAAAATTTCATTAGAACCCACTATAATGTGGTAAGAAAGTTTTTATACTGCAATTTTATTACAGATTCTCATTTTAGTGAGAATTATTGCTTTTTATAATAATTTATGTATTACGTAGATATCATTAAATAATTTTTAAATAAATATATTGTATGATTATTTATAATTTTTTTTAAATATCATAATTATTAATATAAGTATACTATTATATTAAATAAACTTATAAGTAAAGTATAAAAATATCACAATCAAATTTTAAAATAAAACTCATATAATAAAGAAACTTAATTGACATGATGGAAATAAATATTCTTAAAATTATTTTAATTTAAGAATTAATTTCCATAATTTATACATAAAAATTCATATAGAAGTTAATACAAAAGTAATATTTATATTACATTTTAATTAGTTAATAATATAAAATTTTTATATTAATAATACATTTAAATAATTATATGCTACTATTATTTTAAAAATGTTTTTATACATGACTAAATTTCATACCTTTATAATGTAAGGGTTTATAAAATAATAGTATTTTATTTAAAATGAAGAGTCAAATTTATCATATAAAGACTTCTAAATAATAAAATAAACATTGTTTATATTGTATCTTTTTCAAGTATAGTTGTATAAATGCTATTCATTTTTAAGATCTATAGATTTATAATTTCATATTTTTGCAAAATATATAAATACATAAAATAAAAAGTCAAATTTGTTATACTTTATTTTATATTAAAATTATGGAAATAATTTTAAAGTTATTGCCACGTAAAATTTGTATCGATTAAAATAGTAATTTAGTTTTTTTTTTTTTGGCATAGTTTGTATCGAAGCATATTCGGAGATCATCTTGAAAATTTTAAAATCTCAGATTACTTGAAAATAAAAATAAAAATAAAATCCTTCGCTGTTTTTATTTAATATAATAATATTCCTTTTTAACCTATGATAAATTACATAATTTAGTAATTTATCGAAGAATTTATTAGTCTACAGCTTAAAAATTATATATTTTTTAAAAAGAAAAGTCCATTTGCATAATAGAGAGAACAATGGAACGATGTTTTTACTGTATGATAGACATGACTGATAATATAAAATTATTTATGTTGTTAAAATTTACATATTATTATATAATATATTTTAAATAACAAATAATATAAAGAATACATTAGTACTTATTTTATAAACTTATGTATCATAAAATACAAATTCTAGTTATGTAAATTAAGTTATTATTTAAAACTAAACAGTCAAATTTGTTATGATTAAAATTATATAAAAAGAAAAAGAAAACATATTCAGAAATAGTTTAATATTATATCTTTTTAAAATCTAACTGTATTATGTCATTTTTTCAAGATTTATATATTTGATTAATCCTTTTTATTGTTTAAAAAGTTAAGGGAATATTCATAATTAAATACTTTTAAAGAATTATTTTTTTGTAAAATATAAATATTTTAAACTACTCATAAAATAATAAGCCAAATTTGTTATATGTTATTTTATATTAAAAGTATACGAAGAAAACTAATTATTAATATGTAAATTTTGTATTAATTAAATAAGTAATTTAATTAAATAGAAAAAAGTAATTTAATTTTGTGAGGAAGTGTATTGACAGATCATCTTAAAATTTAAAAATTACATAATACTTGAAAATGAAAAAAAAAATGTTTCGCTGCTTTTAAATGTAATTCGACAATATTCATTTGTAACTCACTTGATAAGCCACACAATTTAATAATTCACCGTAGAAGTTACCCATTGGAGTCACATAAATCAAAATATAAGACAATACTAATCTAAAGCTTAAAAATGATCGATTCATTGTTTTTTTATATTGAGTAAAGGTAATTTCCATCAGATAGAGAGATCAATGGAACGAAAATCTAGCGGTGGAGACTGTGACTGAGCAGTAAAATACATTTCCATTGCAATACAAATACACGGCTTTAGTTAAGACTTGAAAAGCGGCTGTCCCGTTGGGTGTGGGTTGCTTGAATTTTGATTGCATAGCGTCCCTTTTCAAAACAAATTCCACACTCCATACAAAAACACTACGCGCTTTCCCTTCAAACACCCCAACCAAAATCGACACAGCACCAAACACACCTCTCTCTCTCTCTCTCTCTCTAACCGTCGCCGGCGAGCTGCCTCCTACAGATCACGGCTACATCGGAATCTGATCCAACTAACAGATCTCATAAATCCAAATGGAGAATCTAATCTCTTTGGTTAACAAAATCCAGAGAGCTTGCACCGCCTTAGGTGACCATGGTGAAAACAGTGCACTCCCTACACTTTGGGATTCTCTTCCTGCTATTGCCGTCGTTGGTGGCCAGGTCAATCTTCTTTCCATTCCGATCCTTCTCTCTTTTTCTATTTTAATCTCATAAAGAATCTTGTTTCTTTCGATTTCAGAGCTCTGGAAAGTCTTCAGTACTGGAGAGCGTTGTCGGCAAAGATTTCTTACCTCGTGGATCAGGTCATCTTCGTTATATTTTTCTCTCTGTTTGTCTTAGACTCGGAAGTTATTGAGATTTTACGTTTGCGAAACGTTTTGCAGGGATTGTTACGCGGCGACCGCTTGTGTTGCAGCTTCACAAGATTGAAGAGGGAAGCAGAGAGTATGCGGAGTTCCTTCACCTTCCGAGGAAGAGGTTCACTGATTTTGGTAATCTTTTGTTCTCAGTTACAATCTCTTGTAAATGAATTAATGGTTATGTATGTATGTGCCTCTCTCGACAAGATTTTGTTTCCTGATTTGAATGTCGTTGAGCGATTTCATATTTTTTTTGTGTGTATGGCTGTTGATGATGATCTCTAATTCGTGTAGTTGCTGTGAGGAAGGAGATTCAAGATGAAACTGATAGAGAGACTGGACGAACCAAACAAATTTCAACTGTTCCGATTCATCTTAGTATATATTCTCCTAATGGTGCGTTTGGATTTTGTTTTTCTTTATTATCTTCTGTTTCGGCCTACGGTTGTATCTACTATCTGTCATGTAATACTTAAATCTGACAGCTACAATACTTGGTAGCATGGTATTGTGATAGACTTTGTTTGTACTTTTTAAGCAATTGTTTAGACTTTAGTTACTTCTTGGACTTTTGCAGTTGTTAACTTGACGCTCATTGATCTTCCTGGGCTTACGAAAGTAGCTGTAGGTAAGCAACTAATTGACTTGTCTTTATTGTTCGTGGTTACAGACAGTGAGAGTTCTCTTAATTTTTTATGACGTCTAAGATACTAATGGATCTTTTTGCAAAAATAGAGGGTCAACCGGATAGTATTGTCAAAGACATTGAGGATATGGTTCGCTCCTACATTGAGAAGGTAGGTTCTTTCAACTGCTTTAGCTTGTGATCAAAAACCATGTTTAAGGAACAAACATTGCAAGCAAGCATATAAATTTTTACCTCCCTGACACAAATTTTATTATATGATTTTGACAATTGTAATTTTCACGATTAGAAAATTTATCATGCAAAGTTTGCTCGTTGTGCAAAAACTAAACATAGAAGTATTTCATTTTTCTGAACTTTGTCTTTTTTTAAACTAAGGGAAATGAAGTAGACTTCTTTTAGCAAAAAAAAACATTAGTTTCATGTGGGAAAATTTGTCATGCTGAATCTGATGTTAATTTGCAGCCAAACTGTATAATTTTGGCTATTTCACCAGCCAATCAAGATCTTGCAACATCTGATGCAATTAAAATATCCCGTGAAGTGGACCCTACTGGTAATGTCAATATTTACATTCCTTTTGACTTTGAATACACCTCATGTTGCATGCATTTAATGAAGTTTTTCTTTGTTTATTGAGAATCAATATGTTATATATTTAGGATGCAAATTTCGCCATGAGGATTTAGCTTATCTAAAGTGAGGGGTGCACTTTAGATGATAAGTGTAGTTATAATTGTTAATTAGAAAATTGACGGGTGAAATTCAACAATTTCAAAGTTTGTTATACATGTGCATTTTTTTTTCACAATTTCAACTGTTATAACTGCACTTCATCCTTT